TACACTGAGAGAAAAATGTATGATATTTGGAACTATAATGGCACAGTAAAAAGATTATAATTAGGAATATCTTTTTTATAGTAAATGTCACCATAATGTTTGTAATATTTACAATATAAGCATAGTATAACTGACTCATGTAAAACTTTTACCAAGAATTATAATTATTTGAAATAAAAAACATAGTAAGATAGCAAATATTAAATGGTAAGAGAAATTAACTATTTTATATAGTCAATACAATTGGAATATTTGGAAAATATGAGTACATATAACTATATTCTCAAGCGTTACACATAGAGTAATAAAATGGTGACTATAAATGTGTGTTCATTCTGCTATATCTTCAGTTTTGGTTGAACTATAAATATATGTTTGAGGCCAAAACGAACTATAAAATATAGTGAGATTATAGTTATTCCAACTATTTTTTTTCTCTCCGTGTGAAATCCAACACAAATTTTTTTTCACTTTTTAACAAATTTCGACGTTTAGCCCTAATTTAGATGATTTTTGAAAGCCTATCCTTAGCGGTTTTCTCTTCGGCCTTAATAGGTTAATCGGATTTATTTTCCACCCGCGGAGGAGGAGGAGGAGGCGGTGGCGTTTGTCGTCCACTCGTAAGCCTCTCATCCGCTTCTCTCTCTGTTATCGCGCATTTCCGATCGACCGTAAGTACTGAACGGCTCTATAATTGCGCGTAATGCCACCGTGTGTTTGCGCCGCGTGCGCTTCAGTTCGGCACGACACGCTTGCCGGGGCAAGTCGCGGCAATTCGTCAATCAAGCAGACACGTCGATAATTTGACGAACACGCTAATGAGACGCGAACAGCTCTAATTAAAAGCGGCATCAATTATTCTTCTCAAACAGTCCTCTTTCCGCGAGAATCGCGCGAATTATCGGCACATGCGCAACAAATCTGTCGGATCGACACGGATCCGCTGACAATCGGTGTTGACAAAGTTCGAAAATTAACGCGATTACTTTTCGCCGGTATCTCCGTCGGCATAGATTGCAGCAGTCGTGAACGCAGGAAGCACGCGCACTGAGAGAAGGATTTAGTAAATATTATCAAAATTTGGTTACTATTACTAAAGGGTAGACGTAAATATAGCGGGCCAAAGCTATGGCAATACTTATTAATTAATTTAGTTCTGTAAAATAAATTATTTATTTGACAGAAGTAAAATTTATTTGCTTCCAGAATATATTTGGTAAATAAAACTTATT